TCGTAACTGTAACTTCAGGTTGTCCGCACATAAATGATAAAAGCTGTCAGCTTTCCTAGAGGTACGTCTCAGAGGACAGAGGAGCAGGGGATCTGGGGAACAGCTTTAGGGAGAGAGTCCTATACGAGCAGCCCCCGGTCTCAGGGGAATTATGTCATGTGAAAGCCTCAGATTTTCACATCCCTGGTCCTGGGTAGAGCTGGGCGAAGCTGAATCCAAAGATTCAGACAAGTTGCCTGTGGTTGGTCCCTCTTCTCGGAGGCCCTCCCCAGAAGAGAGCTGGTTCTGCAGAACTTCCCATGATCTTTCCATGAACCATTCCACAATGTTCCTGTAAACATGCTATACACCCAACTCTCTCCACGTCTCTTCTTCTCTCTTTGTGAGGAAGCTATATGTGATTTCACTTAGGCATGAGCTGTCATGTGACCCACACTCGTGCCCTGCTTGGCTATACGCTGTACTCTTTGAAGAAGACATGTGCTTTTTTAAAGAGCTCCCCTGCTTCACTCGATACGTGCTTGGGAGCCATTGAAAGGCTTTTCTTCCTCCTCCTTTCGAGGCAGAAAGGATGTCTGGTTGCTTTGTGGGGAAGTTTTCTCTTCTACAGAAGTGTGAAAAGATTGAGTCCGGCTCAGTGGTGAATGGGAGAGGGGGGAACGTTACCCTGGCGTTTCCATAGCGACAGGAAATAATACGCCGCGTCGAAAGGGAGGCGGGTGGGGAACATGGCGTAACTGGAGCAGGGTGGTCACCTCTGTCAGCTGAGCCACGCTTGGGGATAGAAGTAGCGGGGCTCCGTTGTGATTTTTACAGACTGGAGGGGAGGGGTTACACAGGACACCACAAGGACAGCAGGCTCCCAGTCTTGGCACATTCAGGCTTAAATATGGATCAGCTGCCACTGCAGAAAGTGTGGCTCAGTTTTCCTGCCTGAGCAGTGGCGAGTGGTGGTGTGAGATGTGAGCAGTGTTGAGTGGTGGTCAGCGATAGTTGGCGGTGGTCTGCCTTGTCTTTGAGGACCACTGTAGGAGCGTGACACCGCAGTGGCATCAGTGGACATTCATTAACAGCTGGAAGTATTGCAGAAGGAAGATGGGCTTTGCTGTCTTTTTAAAGAGATCACAGGGTTGCTGGTCTTGTTGGGCTCTGCTTGTTTTCCCCTAGCACTGAAATCCAGGCTTTCCTTAAACGACTGAGACAAATTAGCCACTACATGCTACTAATTGCCTTCGCCTTCTCTGGGGCTCTGGGGCTCTTGTTAGGGGGGTGGGCCCAGCCTCACATTTATTCAGCTCTGGTCAGAGCCGGCTCTTATCTGACAGCCGCATGCTAAGCTTCAGACGGGCTGGACACCGGCTTCTCAGCTCTGCATGAACTGGGCGATTGTGGAGGGGGCAGGGGTGACATAGAGCGGCCAGCATTGTCAGGGGGATGCAGAATCTCGCACCTCCTCTCAGGGTGCTCCCGGGAGACAGCTTCCAGCAGGCCCTGCTGTATAGCCAGGCATTCTGGCCACAGGCCGAAGCCCAACCACAAATCTGCTTCCGTCCAGCACCAGCTGGAGTGGGAAGGGCCGCTCCTGGCCTCGTCCAGGCTGGCATAGACCATAGAGAGGATTTAGCCTCACTGTGTAAACGTGAACTGGCGCCCCCATGTCTAGATGGCATGATAAGGGACTGCGGCTGCTGGAAGGTTTGACTTTTGGGCAGAGATGAGAAGCAGGACTCCTAGCGGGAGCGGAGTGGGGTGGGGGGGTGCAGTGAGAAAATCCTGGGGGTGTCCCACCTTCTCTCAGTCTGGAAGCGTTTCTAATACACATGGAAGCAATTCCCTGGAAACACGTGTAAATATGTTGAAATTTAAGCAGACCTGCTGGCAAACATTTATTAAAAAATAATAAACTGAATAGCAATTTCTAAAGACTTTTCCTCAACTCAAAAAGAGTTTGTAGAATTACAAAATATTTAATGAGTCTGTTGGATGTTTATGCCCTCAATGCTCAGTTGGTGTGTTTGCTTTTCTATAAGTAGCCTTAAGATGTTGTAATTACAGTTTGATCATGTGACTCATTGGCCCACACGCTCTCTGCCTCTCTCATGTTTGCAGGACCTCATGTTGTAAGTTTCACTCCCTCTTTTTGAGTGCTGGGCTGCACACCCTCCTTCAGCCTTCCAGAGGAATGCAATTTAATCTGAAGGGATAGACGAGGGAGATGGCAGAGTGTAGCTTTGCTGCTAGTGATGAATCACAGTCACTTGATATAGAGAGAAGCCCTGTTATTTATAGGGTGAGAATGCCCGTCTGCAGAGCACTCCTAGGTGAGGTAGGTTTATGATCACTACAATGCTCTGATGTAGGGCCGAGTCATGTGACATGACTGGGTTGGGTCATGTGACAGCACTCGATTCGACTCATCACATTCCAGGTTGTTGAAGTTATGCAGATGTTTATGCCACATAGTCAATTACTGAAGCACCTCAGAAGAACAAAAGGGATACTTTGGTGGACGGTGAAAAATTGACTCAGGTGGATGTGCTGGGACGAAATATACCAAACATTTTGGCTAGTGCTTGTGGCCAGTGACAGTGATCAAAAACATTTGCCCCAAGGCCTGACGAGACCCCAGACGGATGCATCCCACACCCTCCCCTCCCACTTTCCTGTTGACAGTCGTGGGGCCATTTCTGGTGAATTATGCTGCAAAATCATGCTATTTCATGCTGCCTCATTCCATGTTTAAACTCTTTAAATCTGACGGCAAAAATACAGTTTATAAGTGATCTTCTCCTTGTCCGTTGAAGAGAGGCAGCTCTTTCACCTCTGACCTCACTGGACAATGGCAGATCCTCACAATACAATGATTGATTGGTCTGGTCTGCTGCTTAATGGAGGTTTAATGCACTTCAGAGAAAAGTGCCGTTCAGCTGCCTAATGAGACTCGGGCCCTGCTCTGTCTCTCCCACCTTCTCCCACACACTCCCTCATGATCTCGCGAAACCTTCTCCCCTGGTCCCGGCCAGTTGGGATCCTACACTCTCCATCAGCTCAGAGGCCGCTGAGCTGGTCCTGAAGATGTCATTAAAGTGGATGTTGCAATGCTGCTTCCCGCTGCAGCCTGTGTTATTTTCCTGGGCTGTTCCGCAGGGGTTGGACAGGCGGTCCTCTCTGCCCAAGAGGCACCCTGGCCACAGACGCACGTGCACCCACACGTGCAGCTCCCGCGCATTATTGAGCTTTTCCACGGCTCCCAGAGATCCGACGAGTCAGCGAAGGGAGGACAGAGAGGGCAGAGTCAGCGCAGAGGGGAGGGAGCAGAGCCCCGGTACAGTAGCATGTCAAAAGAGAGGGTGATATAGTGCCCCCTGCTGGTGGTGTCAGCTATGTGGTTAAGAGGCACAGGTGAGTGACCATGGCTAAAACAGGAGAATAGACAGAGAATGCTGTGAAAGCACATCTGACCATAACACAGAGAGAGGGGCTCACAGCAGAGAATGGGCAGTGAGATGCTGGTGATGAGCTCCCATCCACACTGTTAATGGATGCTCTATCTGCACATGTGACCCAGTGAACCGTTCGGAGTGTGAAATGGCAGATAATGAATCGTAATCCTGTAAACGGGTTTGAGCATGAGACGGTCTGTCCAAAGGGCAGTGGCACTCAGAGGAACAGCATGTCCCTCATTAAAAATCTCCCCTGGAACAGATCGCTCCACAGGACGTGCGTGTGCGTGTTCATGCCGCACTTCCATGTGGCACAACCCCAACTTGCCCCCCTCCCTCCCCCACAGGGGACAGACTGCCTTGTCTCTGGAAGTAAATCTGGGGTGTCAGGGGCTGGTATTTGTCTAGTTTTTCCACCTGAGAAGAGTCTCTAAAATTCTATGGATTTAGTTAAGAGTGACAGATGGATGGAGGAGAGAGAGAGTGAGATGGAGAGAGACAAGGGGGGAACCTGGAGGAAAGTACAGCCAGGGGCACAGAAGTGAGGAGGGTGTAGGGTGGGGAGTGGGCATCTGTCACCCGTCACCTGGACAGAGATGGATTCTGGGATCTTTCGGGATGGAGCCAAATCACGCACAGAAAGCACCCACGCGCGTCCACGATTATTTAGAGATTGTTCACGTTTGCGTGTTTATTCTCTGATTTGGTTTACGTGATTCATGACTATAATAATGATAATATCAAGCAGATTCTGGTTATTATTAATGTTATTTTTGTTTTTATTATCGTCACCAATAATGGTTGCAGTTAGCATTTCCAGATTTATACCGACAAGGCCGTCCTTGCGCTGCCCTCAGAAGCCACAGCAGTAGCCTGTGATGTCTTATAATCCTCAGTGTCTCCTGAACTGGGCCAGGACTCTGGACTCCGTCCGTCTCAGGCGGCTCCCAGTCTGTCCGTGTCCGGACGGCCGGTGCTATAACGCCACTTAGTGCTAAATATGAATTTCACAGAAATCTGCATGGGCCTATTATAATGCCGACAGTCCCACCATTTGTGATTCTGTGTCATTTTCCTTGATATGGGCGTAAATGCGCAGAGGGTAAGGTAGTGATAAACATTTAATGTCGGCACCGGATTTGGTTTATTTTTGGCTGTTCTGGCTGCAGCCGTTCTGGTGCCACGTGCTGTATGGTCGTCTAATAAAGTTAGCCTCAAATTTCACTGTAATCCTGGCACCACCAACTGTGCCCAAATGAACGATTACGAGTTTTAAAAATATTTACCTTCTTTAACGTTATACGTGTTTATAGCGGTAAACTGCTCCCAATTATCCACACTATGTCGCGATAAATGCAACCGCGGCTTCCTGTCACTGCTGAACTTCCAGCAGGTCCCTGGACGATCTTCAGGTAGCTCCGCGTCTGCATCAGGTCCACCCGCCGGTAAAGCAGAGCGGGTCCTGTATAACCACGCTGTATGATTTTAATTCACCTTTATCGCAGGTATCGGGAGACCCCCCCACACCCCCCTCCCCAGCTGTTTGGCAGAAAAGCCCATGATGTAATGCGCCCGGCTGGGCGAGGCTTCCCTCCTCCTCCTTCTTCGACCCCTCCTCCGCTCGCCGGCTTGCTGCATGGGGCGGATCAGCGATTGCTGTGGTCGCCGTCGGGGATCCTCCAGCGCCGCCGCCGCCCGCGCCACCTGCCCTCCCTGCGCACAGAGGAGCCACGCCGGTCAGTGGAGCCGCTTCCAGCCAGCACCGGTTAGTCGCCTTGGAGGAGCCGAGGGATCGCTGCGGCAGAGACCAGTGGCGTGAGCTCTCCGCGTCCCCGGTCCCTGATGGTATGGAGGTGATGGTTGCGATGGTGAAACGAGGTGGATTCCCCTACTGAGACCCTGATTGTTCAGATGGGGGATACTCTCTAGCTTTTTCTGCTTATTCCGGCTGTGTTTTATTCGGCTGCTTTTTTCACTGTATATTATAAGGACTTTCCCTCCTCTATTATAAGGATTTTGTTCATGTTATTTCCCTGCAATGAGAGGCTGTGCCGGACTGTGCTGCAATGTGTAAAGTGGCCGTTTCTATATTCATCTCGTAACAGGTGAAAAATGCAATGAAGGACGCGTGTGATGCGGTGTAAAGTGTGTGGGAAAAGACGCAGGCGTGAAAACGTGCAAGCAGCAGCCATGCCTGCGTTAACATGCTCGGAGAGCTCAGTTTCTTTGGTATTATTTCCGGAAGGTGCCGATCAGACGCCGTCGCCGAGTATTACCAGAATATTCTGCATTTCGGATGAAGTGATTGTTCCACTGTAATTACCCGCTTTTCGGAACCTTTCCTGTGCTGACGTTTATATGTGATTATGTCTGCTCGTCGTATTGAGGACTGTGCTCCTGACAGCTCTGCTCAGAAGCATGTTGCCATTTCATTGGGACTGAATCGCCCCCGTTCCTCGCACCCGGTCTGTCATCAGCTCTCGCGGTTATCGCTGTATGTCTGAAATATTTATCTACTTCCCGAGTTATGGTTGTCATCTTTCTCTAAATATATGTTGGTGTGATTTTGTGGCACAGCTCACAACTGAAGCCACACTGAAGTTATTCTAAATGAATGGTTAGATGTAAATCCTATTAAAAAATACATATTTAAAATTCTGAGCAATAAAAGCTGCTCAAATTAACTCCTTACAAGACGTGTACAAGGAAAACGGAAAAGTAGTTTCTATTCATTTGTAGGCATAAAAATGCCTCTCAAACCACAGGTCCCTTTGTTGAATGTCAGGATTGTAATTAGGGTTCATTTGGTAGGTTACTTGGGGGCCAGGGCACTGACTCAGGCTACAGTTTGTGTCTTTGGTCCTCGCCATGATGTTTGAACCAGCAGCACAGGGCCATGCTTGATAGCGGCGCACCCATGTATGAATTTCACATGCCTGGTTTTTGGATGTCAGCAGTGCACATGTATCTCCAATCCCCCATCTGCAGGCCACGCCCCTCCCTGCAGGTGGCCACAGAGGGTGTGACTGCCCATCCACCGTCTGATTGGCTATGAGAGGCGGGGCCTGTTTCTCGCATGCCGGGGTCATAGTGTGTCAATCCCCCAACCCCCCCCCCCCCGAACTGTTTGCTTAGTGACCTCCTTGCCGTTCATCTTCTCGGCTTACGTGCTAGATGTTTATAAATGGTCCCTTCAGGCTTGCCAATGTGCCTCAGTACACTGCTGAGAAGGGATATGACTACTCAACCTAATAAACAGCTACAGTGGGCAAAGATGGATGTGCTCTGGTAGGTGGTGTAGTGTTTAGGGATTCCCCAAGGTCCTGTAATTTGATTTAGAAGTGGGGTGCAGTGTCCTTCCTATGCACGATTGCTTTGGCTGTGAATCAGTTCAGTAAATTGTCACGCTTTACAGCTAAACAGTACAATTTACCATGTACAACATGAACAATAATAATAATTGTGATGAGATTCTCCTGCTATTGGCTGTTTTCTTGCTGTAAGCAAAATGGAGTCGGTGGGTAAAGTGCTGAAACAGCTGGACTTCGCAGTGGGAGGGGCTGTTGTACCCTTAGTTGGACGCTCACGTTTATCCTGCTACTGTGATGAGTGAGTATGATGATCCATGTAAGCGGCTGAAACGCTCAGTGATAAGATCATCTTCCTGTCAATTAAAAGATAATTAGTTTGCAGCAATTTGGGCTTGATTTATGAATATTCAGTATCTTGGTGGTGATTGGCAGACCATGGCCACACCCACATTTTAATTGGTTGTCATTATCCCTTTTATGTTTCTCTCTTACCTTTCTGTGGAGCGTCAGAGCCCTGGGATGTCAAGGGTTGCGGGATCTGGATCGCTCTGCATCTCCTTGCCAGTTCAGTGCACAAAGAGATAACTCAGTGTTTCCTTTCATTCGGGCTTCTGAAGCACAGAGTGAGGCTGTCTCTGCGACCAGGAGAGAGAGGCAGATTGGGGAAGACCCTGGAACAGGGACACACACACTCACACACACGCACAAACACACATACACACAGTCATGTAATCATCTTTTTGGGGACCGCTCATTCATTTCTATGGGAAAAATGCTAATGCTAACTATGACAACCTTAACCCCTACCCAGCCCTAACCATGACCATAAGTCACCAAACCAAATACAAGAGTTGTTGCATTTTTAGTGTTTTCACTGCAGTCACAGATTTTTATAAATTGAGTTTCCCCTTCTGGGGACTGCAAAAAATGAAAAATAACAGGTTTTTATAAAATAGAGTTTTCCCCTATGGGGACCAGGAAACTAAGGTAAAACAAAATTGGGTATTCATCACCTTATGGGGGCATTTGGTCCCCAGAAGGTAAGGTATACCTGGACCACACACACACACAGACACACACACACACACACACACACACAGACCTGTACTCATATCTTTGTGGGTACCGTCCATTCATTTCTATAGGAAAAACCCTAATCCAAGCAATGACACCCTTAACCCTCCTCTTCTCCTCTCTCATCTCCCTCACACCATCCACGATTCTTTTCAAAGGTAAAGCGCAGGTTAATTTGTTTTATGCATTTTTACTTTATATTTTGTATTAATAATTTTTATATGAATATTTTTGAGTTGTGGAACGGATCATATGAGTTTCCATTATTTCTAATGGGAAAATTCGCTTTGATATACGAGTGCTTTGGATTACAAGCATGTTTCCGGAACGAATTATGCTTGTAAACCAAGGTACCACTGTACACTTTTGGCATTTTTAGTTTCTTCATTGCAGTCTCAGATTTTTATAAAATTTAATTTCCCCTTTTGGGGACTGAAATAACGACACACACATTTATCACATTAGCAGGTTTCTTTATTACATTGTGGGGACTATATGTATATGTAATGTATATCTGACCCACAATTGCATGCTCATTTACACACAATCACACGCTTGGACAAGACCACAGACACACACACATAGTAAGAACCTGTAGAACAATCCAGATCCACGTTTATGATATAGAACAGCTAAAGTACAACCTAGAACTCAGCAGCAAATTTAATTTAAAAGGAATTTTAAAATATAGCTATATTGTATGTTTCCAAATTGCCTTCTAATACCCATATTTAGTGTTTCTTGACTGTTTTATTGGTGTTCGTAAATTCGAAAGCTGTGTAATTAAAGTCATTGCTATTTTTCTTAAGTCGTTTTGTCTTCCTAAAAAAACTATGCGTTTCCTGTCGTGTCCTTAGGTGTAGCTCGAATGTCCTTACGCCTCCCCCACAGAATTACTATACAATCGCACAGGAAGCCAGTTCATTCATGCCCGTCTTGCCACCCTGTTCGCTCATATTGTCCTGACGGAGCCCAGTTGTCGTGTTAAATGTTGTTCTGTGTGGATTTTGTGATTTTAGTCGTCCTGGAGAATGCCTGTTAGGTGACCTAGGTTTGCCCGCTGGCTGCAGTCCTATCTGTGCCTCTGCTGCCGAGATTGCCTAGTATGGCGCGCCGAAATGCCGCGTGATGCACATTCAACCAGAGCATATAATTGACTGCTTAGTAAAGGACGATCTCTGAAGGACTGACGCTGATGGTTTAATTAGCATTTTAATAAATTGAAAATAAAAAATGTGACTCTTCAAGACTGTAAACAGCAAAAGTTGTAGCAGGGTAATATTTCCAAAAGGTGTGGACCGATTAGAAGAATAGAAACACTAGGGGCGCAAACTCTAAAAAACACACATTTGCTTACGTGTGTGTTTCAGTTTTGCTTGATTTGATTCACCAGGACAGACAAAAGACTTGCATAAACTTTTTTTTATATATAGTTTTATATATATATATGTGTATTTACTGACACACAATGCCTCTTGCTTTGAGCTTTTTAAGATCAAAGGATCCATTTGGTAAGAAAATAAGTTTATCTCGTTGTGGCGTGGTTCCAGTGAATTTTCCCCCGAATCGTCTTACCTTAATCTTTCACGTCGTGCCATTCGATCTGTGCGCCTTTCTGCTCTTTATCCCTCTGAGCCGCAGCAGCTTCGGATCGTAATCTTTGTACTTTGATTTCATTTCGGGAACGAGCACCGTCTCCGAGAGGCAGCGGGGAGTTGGGAGGACTCACTCAGCCCCCTCTTTGTTTTTCCTGCTGGACATGGTGCTCAGGCAGAGCGGATGATGCCCTCAGGATGAGCCTCCTCAGGTCCTCACACTGTCCTCGCTGCTGCAGACATTACGGGCTGCGCTCTTCTAAGGCCAGCTGAGAGTACTGCAGTAAATGAGTGGCCCGTCAGGCTAAACTTCCACCCAAAGTGACTTTATAACCCCGACCCTAAGCCTAGCCTTTCACATGCCTGTTAGATTATTGTAATCTGTAGCATGACGAATTATGCTAATCTCATGTTTGTTAGGTGTCACTCCCCCCGTCTCGTTTTTCCACCGAGCAGTGGATCGGAAAATGAAATTGGATTGTCGGATCAATGAGCTGTGTCGGTTGGCAATGCCGTAACTCAGGAGAGCTGGTTAGCCGGCGGGCGGCTCATGGCAGTGTGGGGGCCATTCTTCCCTGGTCACATCACGTTGTCCGGGCTGCTCCAGACTCGCGGGGTCCTCTCCTGTGGTTCTGGACAGAGTGCAGAGCCATGTTTCGGACCCTCTGGCGGTTCTTCACGAGAACCACAGGGAGAGACGGCAGCTGTGTGGTCGCGAGCGACTCCTCAGAAGCCTGTCACTGGCTGTCATGTTTATGTCATTGACGGAGCGTGTGATGTGTCTGCAGCCCATTATAATCTAGTTCCATGCTTCACTATGAGTGTTTATAAACTGTCAGATGATTGATTACGTTTACTTAGCGCT